CTGGATTCACCTCAATTTCTCGCTTCGTTACTAAGAAACCCAAAAACTTCTCTGACTTCACCCTGAACGAGCACTTAGCCGGATTGAACTGCATTCCGACTCTCCTCAGCGGCATAAACATTTCTCTCAAATCCATCACGTGATCGGCTTCTACCTTACTCTTCACCAACATATCATCGACATACACCTCCATGTTCCTCCCCCAACTACTCTTTAAAAATCTTATTGATCAACCTCTAGTATGTTCCTCCTGCATTTTTCAGCCCAAATGGCATCACCATAAAACAGCAAGTCCCCCTACTCATCCCAAGGCTTACTCTCTTCCTTTCTTCCCGAGCCAAAGGGATTTGATGGTATCTCTGCGATGCATATATCAAACTCAACAACTCACATCCTGCAGTGGAGTCGACCAGATGGTCGATTCTAGGCAATGTATATAGATCCTTTGGGCATGTCTTAATCAAATCCCCAAAATCAATGCACATTCTCCATTTGCCATCCGACTTCGACACCATCAGTGTATTTGATAACCACTCCGGGAATTGAATTTCCTTGATATGACCAGCCTTCAGCAACTTTTCTACCCCCTGCTCGATCACTTTATCCATATCGACTTCATGATGCCTTCTTTTTTGCTTCACCAGCCTTACACTGAGGTCGATGTTCAATCTGTGTTTCACTTTTGCATCGATTCTTGTTAGCTCTTCCGCAATATATAGGCAAAGATATCTGCAAATTCTCTTATTAACCCAATCAGTCTCGATCTCATTGGCTCTTCAAAGTCCTTTCCAATCCTAAACTTGCGCTCCTCACACCATTTGACCATCTGGATCTCCTCAATCTCGTCTCCGAGCTAAATATCCACCTTCTCCTTTCTTTTATCGAGCTTTATCTTATCCTCCTTTGACCTCGACCAACTAGGTCGATCTGGTATCTCCTCACTCGGTTTCGTCTGCTTTTTTGCCAATTGTTTATTATTACTCACTTTCGTCTGGTAACAGATCCTCGAAGTAAGCTGGTCTCCCGCAATTTCGCCATCTCTTTCCCCCACTGGATATTTGATCGTAATGTGATACGTTGACACCACGGCGTGAAACGTATTCAAGCTAGTCTTCCCCATTATAATGTTGTACGACAATTCTGCTCCAACAACCACGAATCAAACCATTCTAACATTGCTCCTCGCCCCCGAACCTAGAGCAACTGACAGACTTACTTCCCCCAATGGCATCACCTCTTCTCCATTGAATCCATACAAAGCTGTCACCACTGGTTTCAACTCTATGTTCAACTCCTTATTAATCTGCGCGAAACTATCGTAAAACATGACATCGGCCGAACTCCCCGTGTCGATGAACACCCTCTTCAGATCAAAATTGGCGGCCACTGTCATTATGACTAACGCATCATTGTGCGGTACTAACACCCCTTCTGCATCTCTGCTCAGAAGCTAATCACTGTGCTCGAGCAGTAATGCCAACCTCCTCTCTCTTCCGCTTCACCGCTCGAACATGTTCCTTTCTAGCATTGTTTGAATCTTCGTCTGTTGGTCCACCAGAAATCATATATATGGTTCCTCTCTTAACTGGTGTCTCACCTTTTTTATCTCCTCGATTCTCATTTTCGCGCCTCCTCTTCTCTATGTTACCCCTTCGACCTCCACACTCTTCTCGAGCATCCTCCTCATCATCATTATCTCTATCACTCCTCTCCTCTGAATCCCCTCGGCATTTCACCTTCTCCTTCTTCTTTGTTCAGTCATGGTAAATGAACTCCTTGAGGTGTCCTGCCCTAATGAGGTGCTCGATCTCATCCTTAAGGTGCTGACAGCCTCCGTTGTATGGTCATAATCTTTGTGGAAATGACAGTATCTTCTCGACTTTGGCTGCGTGGGCCCTTCAAACCTGGACTTCGGCCACATCACATCTTTCCCATCTATCTTCTCCTCGATAACAACCAAAATTTCTCCTATCTTAGCATTTAGTGTTTTGAAATTGTGGAACCGTCTACCTCCAGCAATGGGTCGATCTTTCCACCTATCCTCACGCCCCCGACTCTGCTTGTCTCGTCCATCTCTCCTAGGCGATCCTCTCCTCGGCGAACCTCTCCTAGGTGAGTTCGCCCTCCCTTTCCTCGGCTCTGGCCGAGCCACCTTTTCCGACTTAGCAAACTCTGCCTCCTTCTCCTCAAGGTTAATATACTTCTTACACTGCTTCAACACTTCGTCATACGTTCGAGCAGGGGTTTTGGCGAAAGATGTTCGGCAAGGCCCTGCTTGAAGACTCTTTATCAATCCACCTGTCTTGACCTCGTCTGAGGCCGACAGGATCTCACAACAAGTTTGATTGTATCGAGCCACATACTTCCTCAATGATTCCTTTTCCCCTTGCCTAATCACCACCAAGGTCAAATATGTCTTCTTTTGCACCACCTCACTTGAGTATTGGTTCGTTAACTTATCTGCAAGATCCTCAAAATCTTTGATCGACCGTGGGGGTGATGGTGAAACCAGTCGAGCGCGTCTCCCCTCAAGGTCGAAAAAATGCTCTGCAATTGACTGGGTCCGAGAATCCGTGTAAGACTGCCATATTGTCAAAAGTTCTCATGTACGTGCCTCGATGGATCAGTGGACCCATCGTAAATCAGACCCATCGTAAGTCAGGTTTGTCTCTCTGAAGTTAGCCAGCAAAGGTGCTGACAAAATCTCTCCCGAGAACGGGTGTCCTCGAGCTCGCCCCTCCGTACGCCCATCGATTTTGGCCTGCAACTGACGCAGCTGCTCAACCATCCTCTCTAAGGCCCGATCTCTATGGCCTCCTTCTCCACCATAACTTGACACATCATCCTCTGCGTTCGTTGTCTCCCACCACCGTGGTCGGCGCAGTAGCAGCCCGAGACGTGTGGCTTGTCACCTACTGCACAACCTGCGACGCCGAGTTGGTCATCATCTGCTCCATCTCCTGTCTGGTCATCACCACCACCTGTTGACCAGGACACTGCATCTCCTCTCTCAGTGACTCCGCCACCTGCGCCACTACTCCTAACGACTGCACTCCAGCTGGATACGCCTGCGACGGTGCGAGCACCACCATCGTTTGCATCGTCCGAGCCTCCTACGCGCGGCTCGAACCTACTTCCACTATAGGGACCATCGATGGACTCCTAAACCTTGAAGAGTAGGCATTGGGGTCATCGGATTCTGAGAAGGTCCAGAGAAGCACGCCGTCGTCCACGCTTCATCGAACTACAGTTGCAAATTCTTGCGAAGAACCTCATCCGCCATGATTGAAACAACTCTCAAACTCTGCAAACCATATATCGAACAAGGCCCCACGTGGGCGCCAAAATGGTACATCAAAACCTCCGACCAATTGGAAACGGCTAGCTCGAACCTCCGCCTCGCCGGTTAAACACCGAGTACCTGCAAGGAACTCTCACACCAGAGGGATTTTCCGGTGAAGAACCTTCTATGCTTAAGTCAGTATATGCTCTACTCAATTCTCAAGAGTATAATGGATAAAATCGCGGTCAAATCATAAAGCCTACCCCATATATAGGAGTAGGGTACCTGCTTCTCGATGGCTGCCCAAATAAAATGAGCTGGCTGCCCAAAACTGCCCAACCTGCCCATTCGTACAACACACAGTGTGCGTATGTCAGAGACGGTTATTCAGCATGGACCAACCGGGTTGCGCCACGTGTTCTCCGCACATGGGAGTTTGATTCCTCTGAGATCTCCTCAAAGGCTCTGGTGTTCGACCAAGTCTAGGTTAATCCACTAACTATCCCAAGTTTGGGGGATGGTTGATCCGACGACTAGTTGTACTGCAGGTCGATCTTCGACCAGACCTTCCATGAATTTGGGATCGACTTGTTCTCCACTCTACCGGAATCCCTTTCTAGGCTCTTTTCCAACTCACCGGTTCATATTCTCTTGATGTTCGACCACAGCTTGATCGACTAGTTCCCCGATCTGACTTATTCGGCCGATTTACTCCTTTAAGTTTGTTATCTCATATCGACCGTATCGGCTACTGTGGCAGCATCGGGTCTGGCGGCAGAGATGTGAACTGCTAGCGGACGAGCAGATGTGTTTTATGTGTGTGTGTGTGTGTGTGTGTGTGTGCGCGCGCGTGAGAGAGAGGGGTGTGTGCGTGGGAATGGTGGGGATGGTTTATGAGTGGGGCCCACTTAGTTGGTGGTTTGGATGAAATTACACAACTGCCCTCCAAGGTATTTATTTAATCAGGAAATAGTATTTACAATTTTGCCAGCGTAGGTTTGACCATTGTTACTCAATTTTGACTTCATTATGTCTATTGATATGATGGATCCGATTATTGTGAATCATTTTTATTTCTTTTACTATATCTCTTTTTTATACGATTCTACTTATATATATATATATATATATATATATATATATTCACATAATTACCTTTTAAAAAAAAACAATAAAATGAATGAAAAATAGTGAATTTAATCAATTACATATCATAGATTTTTGAAAGAAAAGTGCAGTTTAAACTGTGTGACTATTGGTGTCACAAACAACTTTGTATTTTCGCTTACTTGTCTCACATAAATTAAAACCTTTTCAGTTTGATGACTATCTCAACACTATTCCTCACATATTATACTTACATTAACATCACAGCATTTTCTTAGCTATCAATTCAATTTTATATTTTATTTAATAAATTTATATCCCATATAATACTATCGAAAACACAAAACTAAATACATATATTCCCCACTAGTAATAATCCAAAAACAATAACTTGTCACATAGGCTCCTTGTCAAGATATTATCAAACCACTAACTCTCACTGATCACAACCCAAGACAAAAATTATATATTATTATTCAAAACACCAAATCCGTGTTTGATACCGACTGATCAATCAAGCAAGACTTAAAACTAAAACCAAGTTCTAATAACCCTT